GTATTCGCGACTAATCACTTAAAAGACATTGAAGAAGCCGTTTACCGAGAAGGAAGGTTAAGTAATCCCCTGAATTTTAGTTGAAATTGACATGAGTTTAAAAAGTATGCCGAACAATACAATATTTATCACGAACTGCCCGAACGATGACAAGAAAAAGACGGCTTAGGCCCAGAAGACAATTTATGAGTAAAGAAATTTAATAAAAAACTATTTCAAAAAGAGTTCTTGGGCAATGACCCTGACCTGCCCGATAGACCGAAATTTTGAGAACTGTTTATTACTAATAATCCTGATGCTCAATATGACCCGAACCAAGATAAAGAGGGAGAAGAAGAAAATGATGGCGAAGAAGAACCACAATTAAAAGATATTGAAATTGGTGAATTTTTAGAATTCTTTTGAAATAAATACGATAGTGGAGATTTAATGAGTTATGAAGGAAAGTTCGAAAGTTACCGAAAACCTACTGTGGAAAAAGTATTGGAAATTCAACTTACAAATCTAACAATAAAAATTGATGAAAAAATGGACGAATTAATGGATGAAATAGAAACCAGCCGAATTGAAGGCCGAGAAGAAATAAGAAATGATATTCAACAAATATTTAAAATACTAGGACAAAGAACCCAATAATATGACAAAAAATCAACAAATAACTAAATTGGAAACCAAAATAAATAACGTTCAAGAAATTATAAACAATTGAAAACAAGAAATTATGAAATACGAAAAAAGATTAGAAGAAATAAGAAAAGAAGTTAGTGAATTAAAAACTAACTCTAAAAAAAATAGCAAATAATTATGGGATTCTGAAAAGCAGTATGCACTTGTGTTGGTTGTGCGGCTGGTGCAGCTTGCATAGTTTTGAGTGGTGGAGCAGCAACTCCTTTGGTGGCTGGTGCTCTGATGGGAGCCGGTGGCTTAGGAGGTTTTTTTATTGGTGATAAGGCTGATAAAGAAGATACTGAGAGAGAAAAAACGCTCTTACAGGATAAGCGTTATAAGGATGCGACTAATGAAGTAGACAAGCAAGTTCAACAAAACAATCAAGCCCAGGATGCTATAAACACAATTGCCGGCAAATTAAATGGTAATATACCCCGACAATCCCACGAAACTGATGAATATTTAAGAAATCAATTAGTAATCCATCAGTCCCAGTTAGACAGTGGAAAAAATAGACTAAGTGATTTAAGGAAAGACATGGATAAGTTAAGAAAAGAACTAGGTGGAGGTGGTTCACTAATGGGACTATTAGGTTTAGATAAATTATCTTTTACCGATAAAGTAATGATTATTGCAGCAATAGTTCTGGTTATCTGACTGCTAAAAGGCTAGTTATTTTTTTCTTTTTTGGAAAATTACCACTAAAAAAACGATTATTAATAATCCCACTGCTGCTAAACCAATATAAGGAAGGAGATTATTTTTTTTATTAGGATTATTAGTAGTTTGAGAAGGAGGAGGATTATTTTTTGGTTTATTCGGTTTATTTCCTAAATCTTTTAATTTTTTTTTCTTATCCTCCAATTCTTTTTCTTCTTCATTAGTGCGGTTAGGTTTGTTTTCTAAATTGTTAATATCCTGTTGGATTTGCTCTCTCTCTCTCTCTCTCTCTCTCTCTCTCTCTCTGTTGTCATCATTACTTTTATCATTATTTACTGGCGGAATACCTTTTTTACTGGCTAATTCATTAAGTTCTTTTTCTACTTGCTGATAAGTTTTTTGTATTTGCTCTTGGCTAGTGAAGGTTCCGAATTGTATTTTGTGAATTAAATTGATTGTATCTAAAGTATCAAGTTTATTTTCCTTTGCTCAGTCATCTAATTTCTTGCTAAGTACATATCTTAATTTTTGTGTGAATTC